TTAAGTGTATTTTTTTATATTTTTATTATTTAAATTATTAATTTTTATAAAAATAATAATAAATAAATAAAATAAAAAAGTGTGACTTAGACATTCATTTCTATTTTTAATAAAGAAAAATTATATTATTTTTAAATAATTAAAAAACAAACTTTTAATTATTTTGTTTACTTAGCAAAATTTTTTTATTAAGTAAATATAAATTTTTTTAAAAAAATAAGTTAAAGTAAAAAAATATAAATATAATAATCACTTAATGTTATTAAAGAGAAAAAATGAATTTAAAATCAATTAGATAAGTGGTAATTAAAGATCATAGCAAAAAATTATTTTAGCAATTTAGATTCTAATTACTATCTACTACTTCCAAACTTTTAAGTAAAAAATTTTACAAAACACCTAATTTGTAACAATTTTGAAATAAATAAATTTACTAAACATCTATTCTATTATGATTTAGATAAAATTACTAACTATTACTCCCAAACCATTATACCAAACAGATTTTTTCTTTCAAATTAATTGTTGTTTGTCATTTTTTAGGGTAAATAAATAGTTTTTCCTATTTTAATCTTGTTATTATCAATTTAGTTTAGTAAAATTTTTTATTTAGTAGCATGTGACTAACAAATGTGAATTAGAGTTCAAATCATTTGTATATTGAAAAGTTACTTTAAGTAAATTTTTGTACTAAATTACTAGTGAATTAGAATTTTGGAATTTTATTGACAATTTATTCATTTTAATTTTTTAATTCTTTGCCATGTTCTTTAATTACCACCTATCTACTTGGTTTTAAATTAATTTTTTCTCTTTAATAACAATAATTAATTATCATGTTTGTATTTTGTAAGTTAACTTATCATTAAAAAAATTTATATTAACTTAATAAAAAACTTGTATACTAGACAAAATAATAAAAAGTTTGTTTTTTAATTATTTAAAAATAATATGACTTTTTCTTTGTTAAAAATGGAATGTGTGATTCACACTTTTATATTTTATTTATTATTATTAT